CTTCAGTGGTCGGTTGGCAGTATTCCCTCTTTTTCCAATTCTCAACAAAATTGAATGAACCGCTGAGGAAAGGCATTGCTTCTCATTCTTGCTTTTCCATAATGGAGGATTATCAACCCACTCTAAATTATTATTAAATTAATCAAACACAAGGTTTGTGGGCTAACGCGGCCACAAGTTTTGTTATTATTATTCTTTTGGTTTTTAGTTTAAGGTTTCTTCATATTCCCAACTTTCCCTAATGTTAATTTCTCAGCAAACAAGCAGTGATCAGATAAGTTCAGGTCCTTTTTCCCCCCCCCCCTCTCTCTTTTTGGGAGATTCATAAACGTCTTGGGTTAATTCATATAATCTATAGTATCGTGATTTTATGTTTATGTGAGTGGGTCCCCATCTTTTTATAATTCGGTGTTTAGTCTTTTAATGGTGTCTCTTTTCTTTTCCTTTCTTTCTTTTAATGTGCATTGCTATTATTATGACATTTTAAAGAAGAAATGTAATCATTGAAAAGTCTTATAATAAGTAAGCAGTATGTAATGATAAATTCCAAAGCGGAAAATGAGAATAAGTCTATATTGTTAACTTGTAAGGACTTTTTATTAATTATATATATATTTTTAGAATCTCATAATAAGTTCTCATGTTCATCATAACATTGGATAAGTACTGCTTCCGTTTCTTAATATAAGATATCGTTTGACTTTTATTTTGGTTATAAATATAAGACTTCAATCTATTTTGTCTCATATATTTATATATTTTCCCTCAGAGTAATCCTTTCAATAATAGTAGTTCTAGCCAATGCACTTGGTTAGTAAGAATATTTTGAAAAAGCAACACCTATTTATTACAAATAACTAACTTAACTTATTTTCTCAATCTCTTCAAATTAGTCAACTAATCTTATAATTAAGACTAGAGGTAGTATTATGAAAGATAATGCCTTGACAAATAGTATTGAAAGAGTCTATGATTTGAACCTTTTTAGTCGCTTAGGTTAAATAAAAAATAAAACAAAATTATGCAGTAAAACACAATTCGGGTCGTGTCTTTAAAGAGACTTTTATTAATTTTTAAGTTAACTAAATGACAAAAGAATTAAAAAGAGCGGTGAAAAAAGGATTTTTTAATAAAACTAATTATGAAAATAAAGAAATAATTATAAACTACTTTTTGTATTTTTAATAAAAAGAGAATGAAAAATGAAAATTTGGGTTTTAGAAAATCAATGATGAGAATGCTTCTTGAAAACAGAACGTACCTATCCTTGCTTAATAAAAATATGGGAGTAAAATAATGTATCAAGTTAGAAAGCAGTGCCAAACATGATTTGGGTCAAGTAAACTTAACATTTAACTACCTAAACGCTAGGTAGTAATCAAATTATCAAGATATCTTTAAAAATCACTTGATGTGCAATTTAAATCGAGTTAATAAAACTTGTTTTCCTCTCAAAGAATACTCACGGAGTCACTTAATTACAGTACATCTCAATCATAAAATCTAACAACACGCTAGATAAAACAATCTTAATGAATGCAAAGGAATTATATATAAATTCAAATTCCAAGTAATATAACTCAAATTAAACTGTAAAAATCCAATTAACATAAATTATAACACATAATCTCGATATCCAAAATAAATAAGAAGAATCCTAACACAAGAAAAATCTAATAAAGTCCAAGAAAAAATTAATTGAAAAACTAAATACTTCTCTAGTTCAAACTCCAAGCTCAAGCTACTCTTCCATTAATAACCAACTTGGACATCAAAACATCATATTCTATTTATATATTTATTGATTATTGATTGAGGGCTAAGGAGAGAACACTCATATATACCCTCTCCTTCACGCATAGAGAGACCCCAGGCCGCCCACATAGCAATTTTCATATCCTGTCCACACGCATACACACCGATGCCAACATAATAGAATTAGCATTTAAAGTGAGATAAAAACATGATAAGATTTTTTTTAAAATTTTTAATTTCATACAATCAGTATTTAATTCAAAATATCCACAATCAATGCAGATTATCTCACTTTAGTTAACAAATATCCCAAAAAGATATCAAATAATATATTAAAATAGGGATTTATCAATCTAAAATGTGTTAATAAACTCTATTGTATTAATTTTTTATAGGATCAAATAAATTGTAATTTGCATCTTTTGAAGTTCTAAAAGTCTCCAATAAGAGATATTTTCCCGTTTATTCTGTTTTTTTTTAACTACTAAAACCACTCCACTCTTTCTAGAATATGCCTAATTTCGCAACCTGAAAAGCAAAAACACTTTAGAGGATCCATTAGATAAAATCTGTTGTGTGGTAGTGGCTCTTTGAGGTAAGAAGTAAGCTTCAATCTCATTAAGAAGATGGCATCTATCACTCACTCACATTGAGGTAAGATGTAATCTTCATTATAAAGCGGGAGGCAATCAGTTAAGCTTTGATGTCGAAATATATTATTATTTAGTTTTAATATTTTTAATGATATAGGCATGAGGATAATGTTTAGGAAAATTTAAATACTCACTAAATATATCAAAGAATTTAATATATTTTTAAGTTTAACTTGTAAATATGATTTTTTTTGGGGAATCTTTTCTATTTAATTTTCTTACTTGGAGCCAGAGTGTGATTTTTCCTTGTTTTTATCTATCCTTTTATTTTGTTTATACTTAGTATTATCTCTTAAAATTCTTATTCAACATAATGAATTTGGAAAAAGATTATCTCTTAAAATTCTTTTTTTTTTCAATATTTCTTTTCTAGTTGAATATAAGCAATAATTAATGAACAAAAGCTTCCTGTGGGCTTCAGATTTTGTTGTTGAAGTCCCCAAAAAGCCTTCTACTTTAAGGATGCTTATTAGAGAGTATTCAAGAGTTGCTTTGCTTGAGAAATAAGAATGGGCCATATGTGTTAAAGTCCTTACTATTGGGCCCGTAAAAGAGGCAATTGAAGCCCAATTTTAAATAGAAGCACTTTTGAATCAAAATATTTAAGTTCAATGCTCCTCTTTAATGTTTTATTACTTTCTTTTTTTGAATAAAATTACAATATATGAAAAAAAAAATATGACGATTTTTTCAATAAATTTAAAACAGAACATTTATATATTTTCACATGAATATTACTATTGTAAGAATGATTATATTATCTGTATTAATCTATACCACTTAATTTCCGATATGAACCATTTTGTTCTCTTCTATTTTTATTTCATTCACCAATCTATAACTGGCTGAAAGAATCAACAGTTTATGAAACATATGTATGTGATTTAAACAATTGATCATGACTTATATCTACCATCAATATATAAATATTAACTAAAAGTAATTCAATTATTCGAGAGAGAGAGAGAGAGAGAGAGGGAGAGAATGATCCAATCGCTTTCAATGGAACTATCATTATAGGTAGATGCTTTTTGCTAATCATCTTCAAATAATCCTATGATTTCTATCTATCTAATACTAGAACACAATATGTTAAGGATTAGTTTCTCTAGTTCATCAATATTACACAATCAGAAATCATCAGTTCCTCAGTTGACTATTTATCACACTCTTAATTAAAAAAAATGTATTGATTATACAATTGACTAGATCATCAAGCCATAAAACATTTATATTTCAATGAAAAAAATCAAGAAAAAAAAAAAATATATATATATAAACTATCAAATGAACAAAAAAATAGTTAGGTTGATTTTGATTCAGACTGAGTAGCTAGCGAACTACAAAATTCATATTTCAGTTTTCAGGTATGCCTAGTCCAAAATGGTACCCTGCTCCTTTCTAAAGAACATGTAGCAGAACATTTTAGGTGTACCCTTTACTGATAAATATTTTATCCTAAATTACTTGTTAAATTACTACTTCTTAATTTACAAAAAGCTTTCTCAATTTGCCTAACTCAAACTAATTAAAATAATTAAGGCTTAGCCGGACCTCATTTCATCCACATCACCATCAAACCGGAGTTAACAGCAGAATTCAACAGAGAAATTATCTATACTCATATCACTAAAATCCAATTGAACTGTTTTGATTATATTGATATTTATTTGTTACTTATTTTATCTATTTTGCCTTGAAGTGAGTAGTAGTAGCAGTTGTTGGTGAAATTAAAATCTTCCTTCGTCACCATGTCAAACCTGCAAATGTGCAGACCAAGTATTAACCATTGGTAGCAAAGTGCTTGATGAGGGAAGGAAAAAAAGAGAGAGAAGCTAGTTTTAAAATTTTGTTCAAAATTAGACTTTTAAGCAAAGATGGCATTAATTGACAAGTTGGGTGGTATAAATGTGAAAATATATAAATTTGTTCTTTGAAGCCACTTTAGTTCATTGCTTTCAAAGTAGAGTCATGACTGCTTCATTTCTCTTTTCTTAGTTAAAAATACAATCTTGCAGTGACTGACTTTAGAGAAGGGAATGATATAAGCACTATTTTAGCGCTTAAGCAAACAATTCTATGCTGTTTTTTGTATCCATTGATATAGACAGATTATGACAATTTCATTTTTTTTCTTTTAAAAAAAACTGGTAACAAAAACAACTCCAGAAATTTGTAAAAGAGAACCTACCCTCAGTCATTTTCATCACATAGGTTGTGACAAAACTCCCAACAGTTGGATAACAATATATATATTTTTTGCTCAGTCCCAAAATAATTAATATTTCTGCATTTTTTACATCTTCCTTGAAGCCTAGTCATGGTTGCTTCAATATAGGGGAAGGTCGTTTCATTACTGTCAATTCTTTATACGAATGAGTTTACACATCATCTTGAACAGAAACTTGTATCATACTGATTAATTTAATTTACCCACCCAGCTTCCTCCATTTGTTGTTGTTGGTGATTTTGGACTCAGCAGTTTTGTCTTTTTTTTTCCACCACCAATAACCAAACCAAAACAAATACTACTACTACTCTATATAACCCAACAGGCTCCAGTTGTTGAATTGTACGAAGCTGTCTGTGCATTTCTCAGTTTCAAAGAAAGCAACATGGTAAGCTACGAAGAACATGTTGGAGAGGAGCTTCCTCTTGTTCATGCAGACCCAACTGTGCTGCAAATTGATCGTTTGCAAAACCAGCTCAAAGGTTCACATCTCTCTGTCTTGTTCTTCTCTCTTTTCTGCATTATTTTTCTCTCACTTCTGGTTTTCCAGAGTCTTGATCAGGTTCCTGAACGTAAATGAAACACAAATGGCGTTTAGATGAAAGGAACTTCAGAAAATGTTTGTGTGTGACATTACATTACATTTGTTAGTATCAAGATAAATAGTATACAATACATCTGGTCATCTAAAACCTGACCCTACCACTAGTTTCTTCTGAGTTTCATAATTTTCAAATACTTTCTGTTCCACCGATTGCATATACCATCAAGTGAGGGAATGACAATGGAAAAGATGAGTACTGTATAAAAATGATCTTTGGTACTATTTCCAAGTCAGTTGTCTATGTGATGCTAAATTTTGACTTCATTTCTGCAGACAAAATTAAGGACCTAACCACATGCCAGGGTGAAATCAAGGCCTTGAGGTCAACTGAGGCTCTGAAAGATAAGGCTATAGGGGAGGTATATCTTTCAAGCTAGTTTATCCACAATCTCCATATCTCACACAACACCCCATATGATTTGATCCACAGCAGCTCGATGCATGATATACCAAAGTTTCATGCATGTTCTGCGAGCAGAGCGTGCCACAGTTTCCAGCACACTTGTTTGGAAGAGAAGAAGATGTATAGATTTCTTTGTATTATTACTAATATCTCTTGTGAATCTTTTTATTCCAATTTCAGCTGAGAACCCAAGTAAATAAACTGGATGAAAAGCTCCGGATTACCGAGGATATCATTGAACACAAGGTATGTAATTGAACTAATAATAAATATTGGAAGAATGACCAACACTGGTGGACTCTAACATGCATCTATTCAAAATATGGTCATTTACAGAATCTTGAAATCAAGAAACTGGCCAATGAAAAGAAAGATGCACAGGCTGCACAATATGCTGCAGAAGCAGCTCTTAGAAGGTTACATGAAGATCAACAGGATGATGATTCCGTTCCATTTGAGAGCATCATTGCTCCTCTTGAAGCTGAGATTAAAATTTATAAGAATGAGGTACACCTAACGAAATTTTCAGCAACGATAACTTGAAAAACATATATAATAGCATGAGTAAATTGCAGATACTGACAGTACTAGCCTCTGTCTTGGCTTTAGATTTCAGCATTACAAGAGGATAAGAAAGCTTTGGAGCGACTTACAAGGTCAAAAGAATCAGCGTTGCTTGAAGCAGAGAGGATCCTGCGGAGTGCATTAGAAAGGGCCTTGATAGTGGAGGAAGTTCAAAATCAGAACTTTGACTTGAAGAGACAGATTGAGATCTGCCAGGCATGAGTTTCTGTTCTTCCTTTTACATATTTGGTTTCAGTGCTGAATTCATCAGTGGTTCAATCAATTTACAACTACCACATATACAGGAGGAGAATAAAATCCTAGAGAAAACCCATCGCCAAAAGGTTTTGGAAGTGGAGAAGCTTGGTCAAACTATTCAAGAACTTGAGGAGGTCATCCTATCAAGTGGAGCTACTGCAAATACTATTCGTGATTATCAACGACAGATTTCTGAATTGCAAGTAGGCATATCCCATAGATACTGAAATTCTGAGCTTGGTTGCTGAGATTATGACTTGCTAGTTTATCTTTTTGGTAACCGGGTTAGCTTAAACTTTCAGGAGGAGAAGAGGATACTAGAAAGGGAGCTAGCAAGAGTAAAAGTCTCAGCCAACAGAGTTGCAACTGTCGTGGCTAATGAGTGGAAGGATGAAAAAGACAAAGTCATGCCTGTCAAACAGTGGCTGGAAGAAAGGAGGATTATGCAGGTTTATTTTTCGCTCAAAATCCTACCTTGTCTATTCCTAATGATAAGGCAATTTTAAAAGTTGTGGTTTTTCTTGTTATAAGACATTTTACAAAATTATAAGAGTCATTAATATCTTTTTCAAAACTGCCCCAAACAATGATTGAAAAAAAGACTCAGCCGACCTGATAAATAATTGAGCATCCTTTCCCATGCACAAAAAGTCGAAGGGTATTCATTAAGGGCATCAATGGAAAGATGGAACAAATTTTCAAAGATAAACTAATTTTAACTGCTTTCTTGGTTTGTGTCAGGTAGGTAATTTCGTCTTACAAAAGAATGGAGGGAGTAGTTTTCATCAGTCATATAGCACTGATGCTGATAGTTCTAAAATCAAATTATATAAAAGCGGAATTTAATCAACAGAACCTTAGCAGTACAAATTAATTTCGCAGAAAAATGAATAGGCTTCTCTCCTTTAAGATAATAAACTCAGATCAAGTAATAATCACCAAGATCAAATATGCATGCTTGTGTATGCAGGCAGAGATACAACGATTGAAAGATAAGCTAGCAATATCAGATAGAACAGCCAAGGCAGAAGCACAACTGAAGGTATTTAACGGTCTTCTATATGGACATTTAGCACATCTTTTCGGTTATACCTAACGTAGTGTTTTTTCTTCAGGATAAACTAAAGCTAAGGTTAAAAACTCTGGAAGAAGGCTTAAAGCATTTCTCAAGTAACCCCTCTAATTCCAATGCAACTTCTGGGTATCCGAAAACAGAAAAGCCTAACATCTTGGGTTTCCTGACAAACAATGGTGGAATAAGAAAGAGGTCTACATCACAACCAAGAGCAGCTACCATAGGAAGTTCTTTCTTCCAGAAGCCAAATGATAAAAAAACAACGGATATTGCTGCTGGAGACCTAGCAGAAAATGTGTTGAAGAAAGGTATCTGGGCATCAAGAAGTAAAGTAGCCGATAGTGGTGAAAAAGAAAATATGGTTCAGGTGAACACACACGAAAATTTAAATAGGTTCACTGATGAAAAAGAAGCAGCTAAAAATGAATCAAGCATCAACATGGATGAAGAGTCCAATGGCAAGAATAGTAATGATTTGGGCAGCAACGATGTGGTCTCAGGTTTTCTATATGATAGGCTTCAGAAAGAGGTCATCAATTTGAGGAAGTATTGTGAAACTAAAGACAGTAGTCTGCAAGCCAAAAATGATGAAATAAAGGTAGTTTTAACAGCTATCCACTCGCCCAACATGCACGCGCACACCCAGCTTCTTTACCCTCTCTTCTTAAGTAGACCTTAAAGGCATAAAATATTGTTTTTCAGATGCTCACAAAGAAAGTTGATGCACTGACAAAGGCAATGGAAGTAGAGTGGAAGAAAATGAAACGAGAAGCAGCTGCCAGAGAAAAGGAAGCTGCATTAGCAAAATCAGATAATAATAGGAAAAACAGAAGCACAATCTCCTCAAAAAGGTTTTAAGTAAAATTACTTTTGAAATTGGCTTTTATCTATTTAAGATTTTCACTCAAGTCTAACATTGGATCTTATACTGTTGCTGCAGGGTGATGAAAGAACGTTGAAGATTATTTATGTGGACAATATTGAAGGAAAAGTACATATAAATGAAGTATTGTGATTTTTACATGTAAATACAAAAGAGTACTCGGGGATGTGATTTGTTGAAATAAATTTCCACAAGTGACTTTGGGAATCTGACCTGTACATGCAGCAGTGTCCAATGTCTTCCTATACATTTGGATAAATGACAGACTAATGTTTTGTGTTTTTATACAATGGTCAAAACTGTCAAAAGATCAGTAATGGTAAAGAAGCATGCATCAGTAGGAACATGAATCACGAAGAATACTTGGAAAACAGTAGGTGGGCATGGTTGATTGTATGCGATAAAGTGAAAAGGAGAATCTCCCAAAGATGGCTATGGAAAAATAAATTCTGGATGGTTTTTGAGATTTGCCTTGAAAGAATATCTTCAAGCTTCTTTGTGACATGAACTGATGTTTACGTGTGTTAAGCATTAAGGACATTGATCAGGGGTAATCACGGATTAAGCAACTCAGATGCATATACTCTGAAAACAACTCAGCTAAAACAGATCCTATGCCATCTTGTAAGCTGTGATAGAATAATTTACGTTATTAACATCACGCAAAAAATTGAAACTCACAAGAATGATCTTCTCAATGGTTCGTCCAAGGATATAAATAACAACCGGAATTTATTACTCCTACATTGAATGAAAAAATCTTGAAACTGAAGGAATCAGAAGAAAATGTACGTTGGAATTGATTTTCTTACTATTGCCATTGCATTTTAATGATTCATAGAGGCAAACGCACCTGATCTCCAGAATACTTGTATCCTCGCAGCTTTTGAGTAAATTTGATGGAGATCAAGGTAGCATGGATATTTGAGATGCCTTAATTTTACATTTAGCACTATGATATGTTCTATGGGATACTTAAATGGGTTAATCCTTCCACCTCGATAGATAGATTCTGGAAAAGAATTTCCTACCTCATTTGGGTGACCATCAAAATTTTACAATTACCATACACAAATTTCTTACGCAATTGCTTATAAGAACGTTCTGAATATGCGGTGCTCTTCTGGAGTGGTAGGCAAATAAGGCTTCAATTTCTACACTCAACACCCTAAGCCATTAGGCCAACAACAGTTCAAGTTGATGCAGCCGTTGGTATAAATCCCCGCGTATTATGCACGATGGAATTAGTAGGTTAATGTTGTATCCCTTCGCGTATTAAACTATGGTTGAGTTCGGAGCACCCTTGATGTCCTTCGCGTGATATCTCATGAATGAGTGCTAAGCAAGAGTTAAGTCGAGCATAATATAATTGGAAGATAAAGCTTCCTACATCAATAAGCAGCTAAACGGAAATCCAACCACTATATATTCCATACTAACATATTAGTGACAGGTCTTCAATTACTCTATAAGATATCTGAATTAAACATATTATATTCCAAATTCATTAGTACAAAATTTCCGCGCAAGGCAAGGGAAAACGTGTAGAAACTAGGCAGTGCATCAAAAACGTTTTCAATGAAGAGCCTTTCTGAAAACACCTAAAACCATGGAGTTCCAAGAATTATGCAGCAATTAATTCAGGTGACTTCCTGGACTCCAGCCATGACTTTGCTGCCACCTGTGTAGTCAAAAACCAGCCAGCCTGATCTGGGGCCTCGTGGAAGGGAGCACCCATTTCTTTCAAATGTGATTCAAGCACACTTGCCAAACCTTTGTCTGAATACTTGTGTTTTCCATGTCCAGTGTTAATTCCAAGCAGTGGCGGAAGGTCCTCTCCTGATTCCAAAGTCTTGGACAGGTCATTTATCCAAACATGTAATGCAGTAAAAGCAGCTCCAAGAGAGAGACTCTTTAAATGCAAAGCCCATTGAGTTTGAGACCTGGACTGTATATCTGTATATATTTGAAGTGACAGGCCCATATCCAGTAGCTCAGATGCCCTCTCCAACTTATTCAAGTTAACACAGAGATCAATTAGACAGTTGCAAAAGGCCTTCTTTACTTCAGCATCAATTGAATCAAATAGTTCTGATGCTTCCTTTCTAAAGTTTTCGTCATCCTCGGGGTCTTCCACCAAATATCTTACCACAGACCCAAGCTTTGGATTAGCCTTGTCAACACAATCAGTAAGCTTACCAAGTTCTTCTTTTGGTACTAGGGTCATAACATTCAGAAGACAACCACAAAAGCGATCATCTGGAACAATCCCCAAATCCAAGAGCCGATAGAAAGTCTTCACAACATCATCAGTACGCTTGGCTTTTCCATAGCACTGCACGAGTGATGTCAAAACAAATATATTAGGCTCAAATCCAGATTCTATCATTTCATTCAGCATCGCTTCTGCCTCAACTACTTGGCCGCTGCAAGAATATATGGTAATCAAAGATGAAAATGTCCAACTGTCAGGCTTACAAGTTCCTGAATTTTTCATGTCTTCAAAAATTTCAACTGCTTCTTCTGCACAGCCAACATCAGCACACATAGCTAAAAGGGTGTTATAGAGAACCATATTCAATTCCATTCCATTTGCCTTCATTTCCTTATAAACATTGAGAGCATCTTCACTGTATCGCGACCTACAGTAGGCTCGTAAAAGAGATGCATAGGTCGCAAAATTGGGCGTAAACCCATTATTAATCATCTCCCTATATATATTCTTGGCCTGCCAGGGCCTCTTAGCTCTCCCCATGGCATCCAACAGAGTGTTATATACGACCATGTTAAGCTTAGCACCAAGAGCCTTCATCTCTTCATAGACATTTAAGCATCCATCATAATTTCCCGATATCCCATACATCTTAATCAATGTCGAGAATGTTACTGTATCAATGCGCCACTTCTCTGTTCTGGCACGATCATATAGGCTCAAAGCCATATCAACATTACCAGCCCGTCCATAGGCATCTATTATAGCTGAGTATGTGACATCGTCAGGTACACACCCAAAGCTAGGCATCTTCTCAAACCATTCCACGGCCTTCATTGGCATAGAACACATCCTAGCACAGCTTATAATAGTTGAAAAAGTGACATTGTCAGGTTTGACTCCTTTTTCAAGCATTTCATCAAATAGCTTCTCCGCTTTATCATACTCTCTACACTTTCTAAACACCTTCATCGTCACATTGTAAAGAATCACCTCCCTAGTCGGTTTGATCCTCTGCTGGAACAATTTAAGAGCAACCGGGGCAGTTTCGGGATTTTCCATGTTATTTAGAACAACTACAGCGTCTTGTTCTAATATCTTATCCCCCAGTCCCCTCAAAATTTTTGACACTTCTTGTTCATTAGGACTACATGAGTTCAAGGAATCAGCAGTCTTGACAAGGAAACTGTACCTGGCATCATACGATCTTTTCAGAAGCTGTTTAGCCCTGGGGCTTCTCGGATTGACCCAAATGTAGCTTTTCGACGAAGTAGACTTTGCAACTGTGTCATCGCAGTTTTCTTCTTCCATAGACTCGACGTCTTCAGTTGTTGCTTGTGCGATTGGTTCTTGTAACGAAACATGGTTGACATGGAGAAGTGTTCTGGATTGAGGCCCGAGACACGTAACCTTATTTGAGTGAGTAAAGGCTCGTACTTTAAGCTTGTGCGAGGAACACACGGAGCTACAGAAGGTTTGGCGGTCGTGGAGGAGAGAGGAAGGGGAAGAGCAAAGATGGTAAGCCATCTCCATTTGCTCTCGCGGTCTCTCTGCCGAAGAAGAAGAAAACAAAGGCAAAAGCCTTATCGATGGAAGCGAAAAGGATAAGTGATAATTTTACGATATTAACCTTGACCGAAAACGGTTGTCTAATGTAATAAATGGGGCGGGGCGGGGACTCGATTGCCCATTCACCGCGAAGAAAATATCTGACTCTTCTATCTTCGGACCATGGCATTTCAAGACCGCAAGAGGCCACCACTTGGGTGAATTGAAGCAATTATTTTGATACTGCCTCTGATTTTGATAAGTTGACAAATAACCTAACTATATAAATTAAAAAATTAGTTGAAATTAGTTAAAAGTGATAAATGGGTAAGAAATGTATATTTTTTAAATACATTCTTATATATATAGAGATGTAAGAGAGAGAGAAAATAGAAACAAAAAAAAAGAAAACATTTTCAGCAAGTTTCATATAGATTAAGTTAAGAAATCTTGAAATGTATTAATTCTTTCTTAAAATATAACAATTTTTTTAATTTTATCTCTATTTAATATATGTACTTTTTAAAAAGTTAACTATTTACAGTATAATAAATAATTGACAAAATGGTACATTTATATTAAAAACTTAATGAGTTAACTTTTAAATAGGACAAAAAAAAATTTCTCTCTCTGCGTTGTAAAATGGACTAAAGGAGTATGAAAAAAATGTGTATATAATCAATAAACAATAAAAATGAAAAAAAAAAACATATTACCTCATGTTCTTAACATAAGAGCTCGTTTGACTCTTATTTTAGTCATAAATATAAGATCCAAATCCACCTTGTCTCTCATATTTATTTATATTTTTAAGGTAGTTTCTATACTTGATTAAAAGGACTACCTATTTTTTTATAAATAACTAACTTAAGGACCGGATGTAGTATTAAATGTTCATATATCTTTTTAAGTATAATTTATTTAAAAAACAGAGATCAAACTCATTCGAAAAATTGTAGCTTATATGAAAGACCGAAACATAACTTGAGTTGCATGCGCGAATATATAACCATAATTCAACCACATTTCCGTAATCACATATAAAACTAACTGCTCGATGAAACTTCAGAAGTGTGCACATGAACCAAATTAAAAGGATGCAACTAGCTAGAGAAAGGCAACGAACGTGGGAATTAACAAAATATGTTCCAAAACGGTAGTTAGGCAAGAAGTGTTGCATTTGCGTCGCAAGCCTATAAGATAGGAAATAACCACAGAATTTGTAGGAGAAATAAGGGCTCTTCAAAAGCATGGTGCCTATACTTTACTTCCCATTTCGAAGCTCACTGCGACACTTTTTCAAAGAAACCTATTTTTGAATCAAATCATGCAAATAGTACGTAACCTTAATTCACAGGCCACCCCTCTGTCATATCTCATCTCCCTCCAATTTTATTTCCAGGCACTAACTGTGTGAATACTAGAGCCATCTAATTATAAGCGTATATTTAAGAACTTCCTTTGCCTTCCAACATGCTTACTAGTTTCCTCGACCGATCGATTCAAGTATAGATCAGAGAAGAGATGTTATTAGATGTGGAAGTGATGGGAAACAAGAAGAGGAAGAGATGTGGGAGAGTTTTCAGATTCAAGAACTTTGGTGAACCTGGATATCCTGTGGAATTCAGAGGGCCATTTCGTGAGAACGTGAATGCTTTGCTTGAGTTTGCCAATTCAGAATCTAAATACTTAGGTTTTGGAATGCCCATATGGTCTTTCCAACTTGAAGTTCATCGCCACCCTCCTTCTCATATCTTCCTGTTCGTCATTGAAGAAGCAACTGAGACATCCATGAACCGCCACTGCAAGCACTGTCAATATGTAGGTATGTTAAGTGCTTATTTAATTAGTTTTCAACGATTTTCTATCAGTTTATATGTTACATATGGATTTACTTGGTGGGATTTGGTTTGAACATATAGGATGGGGAAATCATTTTATATGCAATAAGAAGTATCACTTTGTGTTGCCTTCGAAGGAGACACTGGCTGCGAGTCTGAGCTGTGAAATGCCGTGTGAAGCAATTACGGGCAACAGCCATAATAACGGTAAGTCAAAATTAATAGAATTAGAGGGCCATATGATGCAAGCTGTTTTTCACTCTAATGGATTTGGGCATTTGCTCTCTGTCAATGGCCTTGAAACCGGGTCGGATCTTGCCGGACACCAGATCATGGACTTCTGGGATCGCCTGTGCACCGGACTGCAAGCAAGGTCAGATATGGAAGTATTCCAAAAATGTCTCAGTTCTATATATATATGATCACAGACTGATATCTTATTTATTTGGTTATTTATATATGTGTAGGAAAGTGAGCTTGAATGATTTGTCACAGAAAAAAGGCATGGAACTGAAACTTATAAACGGAATAGCATATGGTGAGCCATGGTTTGGACGGTGGGGGTACAAATTTGGAAGAGGATGCTTTGGTGTGACTGAATCTACGTACCAGAAAGCCATAGAAGCAATAAGAAGCATCCCGCTTTACCTTCTGAACCCCCAAATTATTGCAGGCAACTCTACTTGCTCCTACCATGACATACCAATCATCTTCTCAAGGTACCAAACACTCTCAGATCAAACCCTAGTCACACTTGGTGACTTGTTCCACTTCATGTTGGAGCTCAAGTCTCAGCTTCCTCGCCGGGAAAACTACGCCGCCGATTCCTATAACACCACCTTCTCTGTTGAAGCCAATTGCCGCTGGTCCCCCAAGAGGATCGAAATGGCTACTAGGGTTATTGTTGAAGCCTTGAAAAGAGCTGAGTTCAGGTGGATTTCAAGGCAAGAGGTTAGGGATGCTGCAAGAACCTACATTGGAGACACAGGTTTGCTAGATTTTGTGTTGAAATCTCTGGGAAATCACGTTGTTGGCAATTATATGGTTCGCCGGAGCTTGAATCCTGTCACCAAAGTTCTTGAATATTGCTTGGAAGACATCTCCAGTATTGTTTCCCCCAGTCATCATCAACAAGGTAGTAGTAATAATAATAATAATAATACTAACAGAAGCATAAAGGACAGGTACAAAATCACAAGGGCTCAAATCACGAAGGACATGTTTTATTTGTACAAGTACATCCTTAAAGACCCCAAACAAACACAAGGATCATCAATTTTCTCAGCAATCCCATTGGCAGCGAGAATAATTCTGGATACTAAGTATCTGATCAAAGAGTATTTCGGAGAGCTTCCTTTTCAAGCTGATCTTGGGATGACGGACGGAAAACTAAGTCTTCACTGTACAATAATGTTGAGAAACTACAACAATGTGTTAAGGATGCCACCCTACGAGTGTATCACATTGAGAAGTGATGCCAACATTAATGACCTGAAACTAGACGTTGAGAGAAACTTCAGAGAGATATATTGGGGATTAAGGAGTTTTTGTGTGGATTCGATTAAGAACTTGAAGGTTTGTGGCGGGAATGAGCTGGTGTTTGAGATGGTGGAAGTGGGTAGCAAGCTGGTGGTTGAAGGATCGATTGATAATAACGTTAATGGGGACATCATAAGTAACATCGGAGAGATTTGCGAAGTTAATGATAATAATGGGATGGTTGTGGAATGTGGTTGTGGGACCAAGGAAGACGATGGAGAGAGAATGGTGTGCTGTGATATTTGTGAAACTTGGCAGCATACGAGATGTGTTCGGATTCCCAACGATGAACAAGTTCCTTCTATATTTCTCTGCAAAAGATGTGAACAAGAAATTGTTATGTTCCCTTCGTTGCCATAGATATGTATACAATAGTATTATGTTTATATTATCATATCCATATGTGTGTGTGTGTATCTCTTCGGCAAAAACCAAATTCCGATTTAATTTGGAGTCTTTTTGGCTTGGTTTCATCACGAATACCATGAAAGAGAGAATAATGCTGGTTGCATTTACTGTTATCTTTTTTTTTTTTAATCCAATTGTAAATTTATGTCAACTTTGACGATATCTGCAGTTGTTTGTTGCAGAAGAACATTTGGGGTTTTTTTTTCCTGTGCGACATTTGAGTTAATAATAAAGAGTTAAGAACTCCATCATCTCCTACATTTCAAAAAAAAATTATTTGAAAAATGACAAAGTGCCGTGGTAACGTAGAAAACACTACAGCCAATAAAAAAATATTTGAAAAATGACAAAAGGGCCATGATAAAAAAATGACTATAATGTAAAACGTACTGGCACTTGCAATGACTGATATGAAGATATATATATATAGATATATATATATATATATATATATGATAATGCGATATGAGCAGCCAATAAGTGAGGCTTTTCTTGTTTTTTACTTTTCTAAACATAAAGGTAAATGGGGAACAAAGCAGAAATTTTTAACTCTTAACTCGTTAGCTCGCAATAAATCAGACGTATATTATTATTGTTGTTGTTGTATAATATCACAATACAAAAACAGCTTAATTAATTAAGACTTACTATTATAAAAAACCCACCAAAAATTTTTTAATATAGTTTGACAGTGATAAGTATGGAAAAAGAGGAAGTGATCCGGAGACCTAATTAAGTAAACAAATTAAGCTAACAAGTAACAATTTCTCTCTCTCTCTCTATATATATATATATTGACAATCCCAATTCCTAATCCTCAAAATAGCGCAGTTTTGTACCATTGATGACGCCTTGCCAAGCAAGCTTTTTTAAAATATATATACTCCTCCGGTCCTTATTATAAGACCCCATTTGACTTTTTATTTGGTCCTAATTATAAGACCCCAATCCATTTTGTCTCTTATATTTATGCATTTTTTTCCAAGATAATCCTTCTAATAATGATAGTTTTAGTCAATATACTTAATTAGCAAGGATATTTTAGGAATGACAACACTTATTATTATAAATAACCAACTTAACTTACTTCCTTAATCTCCTCAAATAAGTCAATTGGGTCTTATAATTAGGACGGAGGAGTATATATATAGCATGATTAAGGAGCTAATACCTAGATACCTAACAACTTAAATTGAGAACCCTGATATTACATTTTTTTGGTTTGAGAGACTGTTAGATACACCTCTACTTTTAATAGAGGACTTAATTGTTAAGTTAATTTTGATCCTAAATATAAGAATTATTTTTTATATTTATCAATTTTTTTTAAATTACCCCATGAATACTCCCTCAACTATAATTAAGTAAGTGAAGGAGGAAGGATATTAAGAAAAATGATTATGGTATTTTAGAAAAAACATATCATATTTCTTATAATTAACTGACTTACCTAACTTATTTAATCTAATAAATTAGTTAAATAAACCTAAGGGGGTGTTTGGCTTTTTTGCCAAACACCCCCATTTTTTTTAAAACCAAGGTTTTGCCCAACAAAACCTTGGTTCCAGATAAGCTGGTGGGCGTAGCTTCTGAGGCAGCTCGCGGAGGGAACAAGCACGCGGGGGGGGTAGTCATTCAGGGTAGGGTGTTCAAGAATGACCCATCCCGGTCGGCCCGTTCCGGTCCGGTCTTATTGGAACGGGACGGATCCGTCCCGAAATTTTTCGGGACGGGACAAAAAAAGGACCGGGACGGGACGGGACGGGGTCGTCCCGTCCCGGTCCTGTCCCGGTCCTTTTTTTTTTTAATTTTTTATTCCATTTATATAATATTATTTTTTATATTTTTTAAGATTTGAGACTATGTATGGAACTATAGATATATTTATTAGAGTTTTTATATTTTTAATGATTTGAGATTATTGATGATTAGAATTTTTAGCAAGTTTTTATTGTGTTAAAAGCTTTTGTTTAGAGTTTTTAATGATTATTATATGTAATATTTTAAGTTTTTATTTAAGAGTGTCCAAAAAAATAAATAAAAAATAAAAAGATGTTTTTATAAGATTTAAGCCCAAAAAAACAAATTAAAAAAATCAGATTTTATTTAAAAAATTTTAAAATTTAAAAAAAATTAAAAAATTAAAAAAAAAAAAGGGTTCGGGACGTCCCGGTCCCGTCCCGGATCCGTCCCGTCCCGATCGGGACCGGGACAACCCCGGGACGGGCCGGGACACGAGACAGAAAATCTGTCCCGTTACTGTTCACCGGGACGGAACCGGGACGGGCCTGTCCCGGTCCCGATCCGTCCCGTGAACAGCCCTAATTCAGGGGGGCGGGTAGTCATTCAGCACCGGGGGTAGTCATTCAGCGGGGGGGGGCGTTAGTCATTCAGCACGCGTGGGGGTAGTCCGAAGTTATGAAATATATTTGGCAAAATAAATCATTTTTTAAAAACATATTTATTTATTTTATTAATATATATACACACTAATTTCTTATTATTTATATTATTTATGCCATATTTATTATGTTGTCAAAATATATATTATAATAAATTTATTACTAACTCCGGTCCTAATTATAAGACCCAGTTGATTTATTTGAGGAAATTAAGGAAGTAAGTTAAGTTAGTTATTTGTAATAAATAAGTGTTGTCATTCCTAAAATATCCTTGCTATTAAGTGTATGGCTAGAACTATCATTATTAGAATGATTATTTGGAAAAAAATGCATAAATATGAAAGACAAAATGAATTGGGGTCTTATAATTAGGACCAAACAAAAAGTCAAACGGGGTCTTATAATAGGACCGGAGGTAGTACTTCAAATAAACATATATTATGAAATATATATTATATGTAATTATCATTTAAACTTATGTCCTTTTTAGTAATTTCTACATATCAAAAAGCACTTCTGACAATAATTATCCAAACACTCTCACTTTATCAGAATCACCTTTTCAGAAAATCTATTCTTTCAAAATCTATTCTCTTCAAAATCTATTATCCAGAAACTATTTTGCAAACCATGGTTTTGCCTCATCCAAACACCCCCTTAGTTGGTCATGAGGAGCTAGACCCAAGCTCCCCTTGGCCCTTGATACGCGCATTTTGTTTGTTCGTTTTTTGACACTCACGCACAAACACAGTCTCCGTACATGTAGTTTATTCTTTTTGTCAAATTTGGTCGAAGTTGTATCCAACTTGGCTTCTTCAATTTTATAGCCTCCTGTAGGGACCATGGGCTGCCAAAAATCCACTTCAACAACCATTTTCATGCGTGGGAAATCAATTCGGTGTCTCTGATTAAAAAAACGAAATATGCATAATATTTATTGTATTTTTATAATTACTTATTCACGTTTTCATTTAATCACTTGAATACTATTTTTTATTTATAAAATTGTTCTTTTATATTTTCCATTAACCTAGCTCATTTTCTCACACATATACATAAACGATTAGTAAATTGAAGTTGATGAATATAAAAATAAATATAATTTATTTATGCATAAAATTGAGATTACATATGTTTTCCGATATGTTTTAAGTAGAGGAAGTTGGATGACTGAAGTTAAAAATATATAATTCATTAATAATAGATCTTCTATGAAGAAAACAATTGAGATTATTTCGTATAATTACAAAACAAATTTTTTTATCAAGTTATAGTTGCCAATCATTTTCATAAATAATTAATGGAATCGCTTATAAAATGCAACTACATACTATCTGACAATATAATACCCACCCCTTATTTTATTTATGAGTGAAGAATTTTTTTTAAATAACTTTAAAATATTTCTTTTCGTAAAAAGCAATCACATCGCTTCCCCAAAATAGATTGTGAATAAATATTACAATTTTATGATCAGTAATGGACCACTGATGTGGTTCTTTATTTTATTTGGATTGCCATGTCCACACGAAAACTAAAATAAAATACAACACCAATTCATTGTGTTATCTGACTCACTCCTTATTACCCAACTCGGCAACTAGTATATATATTTTTCAATTTTGAATTATGTAAATGTGTATTAATTAATTACTTGTCACATGGGATTAATTTAATAAACGAAAAATTAATTACGCGGCCGATTAAAAAAAGGGACAACAATTAACTTGACAACAGTTATGTTGTCTCCATGGAAACGTGCTGACACGTCGATAAAAGGATCTAATGTTGTTCATTACAACTGAGATCCCGCCGTGAAAAACTGCAAATTAACTGAATTAACTTAATTATGTAATTAACTCTGAGTGTATTGTTCATAATAATGAAGCTAAATTCAGACCTGAATATAATTGGTTTTTTACTACTTTTTTTTATTAATTATTAATTTGCAAGGAATAAGATATATATGAATCGTTAGTTAAAAAAAGATATATATGAATCAAAGGAAAAAATTTTCTGAAAAATCCTCCATTAAAATTCAAAGGTACTGGAAATAAATTTGCATAAAAATTCATGTGTATTTTTTTTAACTTCGTATAATATAACTTTATTTATATACAAATTTAAAACATTTACACAGCTAAAAATATGTTGTATGTGATTGAAAAAAGAGTTGACTTAATTCACATCCATTTTCAAATAAGATAGGGATTTTTCAGAAATTATTAAAGATTTAAGATTTAAGTGATGAAAAAAAATGAAGCCGCGGTGGCTGGAAATAAATCTACCAGGTTATGATGAAGAAAATGAGGAGAGAATCTGTACGGGGCAAAGCATGTGGGTGGGCTAGGTGGATGAGAATGCAGACAAAATCTTAGCTTCAAAATAATATTGAAATGATGTGATACTACCTGCTTTAATATATTCCATTTCTGGTATAAATTTTGTTTAATTTTTATTTTGATTCTAAATATAGTTTTAATATATTTTATCTTTTATAGTTATCAATTTTTTTAAGATAATCTGTTAATAATAATACTTAATTAGTAAAGATATTTTAAGTAAAGCAATACATATTTATTATAAATAACTAATTTAATTAGTTTTTTTAATCTATTCAAATTAGTTAACAAATTCTTATATTAAGCACTGAAAATAATTATATTTCAAATTAAAAACATAAAACAAGGTTTGTTTTTAATTTGTCTGTTCTCTGGTTACATTATTGATAGATCATATTATTGCGTATGTCCAATAAATTATTCCTTGTTTCGACTTAATCTCTTGCTTGCCAACGAAAGCCCCCTGTCCTATCTCCTCTTTTTTCATAATTCATTTATTTTTTATTAAAATAAAAAATAAATTAATTTTAATATAATATAAAATCCTAATAATATTATCCAAAATTTAAATATTCCGGCAATACGTATATGAGGTCCATCTAATTATATACGAGAATAAATCTCTTCGTAATTGTTACCGTGTGAAGAAGAGCTGCCAGATAACGAGATCTGTTGATATTTTTTGGGTTAACATTTAAGCCTAAATTAAGTTTATAGATATTTTCTATTTAACTATGTTTCATTCAAATATAAGATTTCCTACATTTAATTTAATTTTAACATAGGTACTCCTCGGTCTTAAATGTAAAACCCTTATACTAGTGAGTATAAGGGTCTTACATTTAGGACGGAGGAGTATATTTTTATGTTATTTCCTAAGCTCCTTATATAAATAAACGACAACATGACAATAATTTAGTGATTGATTTTTTGGTGGAAATATAATAGTTGTCGGTGAGCAACATTTGAAAAAAGCAAAAGGACAGAACAGAAAATAAAGAAACATTGAAGTCAGGTATGGCATTGAAGTGAGTGTGAAAATAAATAACAGAACTCAACAAATTAAAATGATCTCATATCATGATGTTTGGTGAAAGCAGATAATGTTGCAGACAGGGACAGTGTCCTCCCTTCTTGTCCCTTTCACTTTCGCCCTAAGAAACCTTCGTTAATTCACTATTTCATCCTCTCTTTTTTTTAATTATTTATGCAACAAAATTACTTCATCTTTTTATATACTTATCAATTAAATTAATTCATATTTTAAGTCATTTTCATTCCTTCAGGCTTCAGTCATACTCCTAGTCATTTTTAGATAAACTTGGTGAAAATATCCATTTAAAAAATGATAACATTTCTTACACAAAAAATATTAATACTTTAATTCATATTAATACTCATTAGTAAATTCAATAAAATTTTGTAATTTTTTATAGAGGCAAATTACTATTGCAAAAAAAAAATCAGTCCTTGCATATAAAACAACAGAGAAAGTGAGTACTATTTTAATCCTTAATATAAAAACCATTTAAATTTAAATTTAATTTTAAATATAAAATCTTAATTTACTTTGTCTTATATATATAATCTATTCTCTAAAAGTATGTTAAGAGAGTTTTTATCTGATGATAGTTATGATTGAAAAAGACATTTTAGAAAAATCAACTCATATTTATTATCAATACATAACTAATTTTATTAATTTATTCAAATTAGTCGGATAGTTTTATATATTTAACTTCTACCTGCTCCACCTTCTTCTTCTAGACTTCCTTAACATTTGTATTTCAAGATGCTGTTTAATTAGTGTCGACAAATTGCTTCACTAATGATTTCACAAAATCGATTAGTCGCTTCATGTTTATCCTTCAAGGGAGAATTAACAATCACCAAGTAGATCCTTAATTTCAACGTTGCTTAAAATCTCTCATTAATTTGTTGAAAAAGCGATAAAGCGAAGGGTTGAAAGCTACGAGAGGATGTTTATATCCTCCGTGCCTGTCAATTCGTGATGTCATTCACTAATCTATGGCAGCCAAACACGCGTTGCCACTCACTCCCCACCTTCCTTACCTATTGTTTCATTTCAATACTCCCCTTCTTTTCCGCTAGGTTGTTGCCTTTTGAGGTAAAATTATCATCTTCATTATTTATCATTACCTAAATTTATGATGGGTTTTACGCTTCATTTGTGAACTTGAGCTATTTGGGTAATAAACTTGACAATATAAGATTGTTCAGCAATTTTTCTTAAATATTGTATCGATTTTAAGAAGGCGAATATTTATTAACTCGAATGAATCAGATCTGAAACATGTACCAAAAACCTATAAATAATGATAATAACAATAATAATACTTATAATCTCTTAGTTATGGTCGGCCCACCGTTTATTTCCCCCGTTTCACACGAACACTATTCATGAAGGAAAAAAGAAAGTTGAATTTGAGCAGCATTTACATGATTGAACAGCCCTGTGGGTTTTCTTCGCTGAGGTATTGATCGCAGCGGCTGACGTAGACCGGCCTTCCTCCGACGCCGTAGCTGTCGTAAACGGGCCTCCCATAATATCCGTCGTAAACGATGGCAGGCACAGGCTGGACGTACCCATGGTGGTATGGCCCAGAAGGATACCCTTCATAGTACGGCGCAACAACCATCCCGGCCGGAATCGCCACCGGCGGTGGTGGTTGAACCTGCATCGCGACCGGGCCTGCAGGCGTCGGCTTGGAATCGGCGGGCTTGTTGTCCTTGGGCTTGTCGGCAGGTTTGTCGCCGCCCTTGTCCTTGGGTTTGTCTCCACCATCCTTCTTAGGACCGGCGTCTTTCTTTTTCTCACCTTCTCCGCCGCCGCCCTTGGGCTTGTCGCCATCGGACTTAGGCTTGTCGCCGTCTTTCTTCTTGTCGTCAGGCTTCTTAGGTGGTTCGACGATTTCAATGCTCTTAATAGCACCGCCTCCCTTGCAGCAGAGTTTGTCTCGGATTTTCTCCGGGTCACAGCACACCACAGTGATGTTCACCATGTTCTGCTTCTCGTCAAACACCTGGGATCGAACTTCTGGCAAAACGCAGAAGAAGAAGAAAAGGAAAAGAATTAGAGTGGGGAAACAGAGAGAAGAGAGAAATGAGAGAGGGGAGAAGGATACTGACGAGGGATTTTGCAGAGAACCTTCTTGACCTTCTTGCAGCACTTGGAGCACTGAAGGTCAACCTTGAGCCTCATGAGAGCGACCTGAAGAGTGAGAGTGATGGAATTCAGAAACTAAACAGAAAACCAGAAGAAGAAGAAGAATAGAAGAAGGTATTACCTTTTCAGCCATGGTAGAGGGAGGAAGAAGAAGAAGAGAAGGGGGTTGTGGGGTGAGAAACAGAGGCGGAGAGAGGAATGAGATAGGAAGGAAGGAGTGAGATGATGAAGCTGGCTGTGAGGACTCGTGAATGAGGTGGTGATGGGTGAGCGAGAGAGAGAGATTAAGAGTTATATAGGTTAGATTAATCAATGCTTTGACTATTCCATCCCATTAATTAAGGCCTCGGGTCAGGCCCATGTGCGGCCTTGTGACTCCTGGGCTCTTCCTTTTTTCCACTCACAAATCACAAGCTCACATGACATAAACACCCATAAGCAAGGAACAAAAAACCGGACCGGGTATTAAACCGGTTGAGACAGTGGGTCAAGGGTTACTGGTCGGACCGAGGTCGGACCGGGGTCGGACCGGTCATATTAAAATAAAATAATTTAATTCATAATATTATGTATCTTGTTGATAAAAATGCAACCAGTAAAGGATATACTCCTCATCAATTGAATACGATGTATCTTGTTGACTCCATCTTAAAACTTTAAAAGTACTATCAATTGTGATTGAGGGGGGGCAGAAGCAAGAACGGTGAATGCTGTTTATAAGCTTATTTGTTGCGATGCCTTAACATTAATTTACTTACAGTTCCAAATTCCAATGCAAGGCAAGTATATTTTTGCCATAAATCATATCCTCTATCTCTCAACTAAAGATTTTTCTCTTGTTAAAATTAAAAACGAAAAAAAGATACTTTTCCTAGGTACAATCTTTACATGCGCAGCAGCGTAGGAAATAACCGGTTATCTCCTCCCTTCCCAAACCTTTCGTTCAACAGCAAAAGAGAAAGAAGGCACAATCCAGCTGAAAGGGAAAATATTTGAGCTTACCCACACACAACTTAATGCATCGAAGACGAAGGGAACGCTAACTTGCGATGAAGCGATTTTGGGGCTTAGACCTGCGGCAACTTGCGATGATTGCGATTTTTCATTTTGGGGCTCAGACCCTCAGACTTACGAGCTTAGATGGTTGAGGGAGACCGGAGATCAGACTTGCGAGATTGCGATTTTGGAGCTCTGCCGAACAAGGAGCTCTGCCGGAGATCGCCGTGCTGTCAGTGACGCCAGGGAGCAAGGATTTTGGAGGAGGTGATTTTGGTTTTAGGGAGGGAAGCGAGATGCTATTTTGCGAGCCAGAGGAAATGGGGAATCAGATATTCAGATTCGGGGGAGGGAAATAGGGGGAAGTCGACGGGAAAGGGAATTAGGAAAGGAAGAAGGAATTTTTTTTTTAAACGGAACCGGCTGACCCAGTGAACCGGGATTACCCGGTTTTGTACCGGTTATGACCGGTTCAACCGGTTCTTTACCGGTTCGATAGGATCCCGGTTCAACTCCTTAACCAGACCGGACTGCAGACCGGTTCACCGGTTTTCCGGTCGAACCGGCCGGTCCGGTCCGGTTTTTTTTTTTCCTTGCCCATAAGTATCTCTAACATCGCCAAAAACAAATTCAGCATTAAATAAATGTGTTTTGGTATTCCCTCCCGGCCTCCGCCTCCGCCTCCGGGACCTTTTGTTTTTTGGCCAGTAACCCTCACATATTTCGTGTTTGACAGATTTAGGGTGTGTTTGGATGAAACCAAACCGTGATTTGAAAAAGTGATTCTAGAAAATAGATTCCGGAGAGAATATTCTGTGAAGAATAGATTTTGTAAAAAAGTGATTCTGAGAAGTAAGAGTGTTTGGATAGTTGTTATCAGAAGCACCTTTTATACATACAAATTACTAAAAAAAAACATAAGTTAATGATAATTACAGAAAAAATAAATTTTATGATATATTTTAATTTGAAAGAATAAAATTGTTAATAATATATTTTTACCAACATAATTAATAATACATAAGATAATATAATTAATAAATAATTAATATGTATATATATTTATAAAATAAAATTTTTTGCTTTTTTCCAAACCATAGTTTTGGAGCTAAAAAACCATGGTTGATCCAAAACCATGTTTTTGGTTTTTGGGTGGGTGTTTGGGTGACTTAATCTCCAAACCATGGTTTGGGGTGTCACCCAAACACACCCTAATTAGTCATAGATACCAGATTTCATTCTATTTTATTATATATTTATTTTTTAAAAAAATTAATTTGCTTAACTCATCTACTTGTATATAATATAATGTTACACACAAATATTTTAAAGATATCAAATTATATTTATTATAATCAATTAATTTATTTTATTTTTTGGAATTTACTCAAATTAATTAAGTAGCTTATTATTTATTTAAAGTTGAGAAAGTATTGAAGTATTGAAAAAACATTTACAAAGTGAATGGATTCTTATTTTTTTAAAAAAAAAAAAAGCAAAGCGCCCGATTTATGACTGAAAGGAGTAAAAAAAAAAAAAAAGCGCCCACGGAAATAATATAAGCCGCTGTTTGGTATATGTAAAAATCATAATCATAAATGATTAAGTAATAAAGCGATTCATTTGGATTCTCTCTTTAGGAATGTATATGCTCTCTGGCCCTCGCTCTAGGGCTGAGCAATGGCGGGCTGGGCTAACCCGAAGGTTAGCCCATAGCCCGCCCATTTATTCATAAATGGGCAATGGGCTAACCCATAACCCGGTAGTAGCCCATTTAGCCCATATTAAATGGGCTACGGGGCAGCCCGTTTGGGCTGACCGGGTTATGGGGTAACCCATTTATTTTTTTAAATTTTTTCAGTATAATTATTTTATATATGTAACCTTATGAAGCTGTCAATAAATTTTGCATGCCAAATAGCAAATCAAATATGAAATAACATAACCATATTCAATCACACAACCTCACTTAGATTCGCAAACAATTAAAGTCTGATAAAATCATAAAAATAGTCACCAATCATAAAGTCTCATAAACTTTGAAAGTTCCAACTTTTACCTAAAGGATAAAATAAAAACTTAGACAAGTATGAAGGTTTGATAAAATATGAATGAGAAACATATCATCAATTAAATGAAGAATAAAAAATTTTAAAAAATTTAAAACTTAAATGGGCGGGTATAGGTAGCCCAATACCTTGCCCATAGCCCAACCCGTTTAATGGGCTACCCCGCCCATTTAAGCCCGCCCGTTTATAATCTCTTATTTGGGCGGGGTTAAATGGGGCAAAAAATTCATGGGTTATGGGCGGGGCTAGCGGGTAATGGGTTGTTGCTCACCCCTACCTCGCTCTATCTTCAAATTTTTTAGATTTTTTTATATGAATCTGGTGGCAAAAAAAAGAAGGATTTTCATATGAATCATTTAGATTTCATTCTTTTAAAAAAGTATTATTCTTTCTATTTCGGAAGGAGTAAAATGCAGAATAAATATCATTTTTAATGGTGACTTTAACAAAAATTAAAATGAATAAAAGTAGGTGAATTAGGACCAAAGCTGAGAAATATTAAATGGAGGGGGGTGGGGATTGGTTAAAAGCATGAACTGGAAAACGCTTGAGTTGTTAGTGGACAGACACAGAGAGGTGTCCAGATCTGTGGGGCCCACAAGAAAGAGAGTCAAAATCGGCATGTTCCTTGAAAACAGAGGAACTCACCAATCATTCTTAATATTCCAATTCTTCCCCGACTTCATTTGTTGCTTCTTTTAACTCTTCTCTCAATCTTGAAAATGTTATGCTTCATGCGCATATTACTTGAATAATGAATGTCACAAATTTAACCAACTGATGTTTTAACTGTGAATGCAGAAAACGCTTTAGAAGAAACTACTCATAACTTCTAATTGAGCTCGACAAAGTTGAATATGATCCAATCAAATGACCATTGTACCAAAATATCACGAGTTTATAATCTAAAATCAATGGTAAGCTATAAAATTAATACAGAGAGAATCTAGATTATTTGGGTGTGGTTTAGATTAGTGATTGGATGGGAGTCTTTTTCATTCAAAACTGAAATTTGTGATTATGCGATTGTCATTGTTCGCTGCTTTTCTTTGTTTGTTTCGGAGAAGGAAAGGAAATCCTGTCATTCAGACCACAAGCTGGCCATCTGATTCCGTGGGCTCAGTGCTATCAAAACCTGTTAGGAAAAGAACAACCGATTGCTGTTCAATACACAACACACGTTTCTGTTGGACTTTTAGTGGTTGCAATGGCTTTTCTGGTTAGCATTAGTTGGATTTTGATCCTCATTATTGTGGTAAAATCTAGACAATCTAACATCCCAGATTTGATGTTTTTAATTTGTAACTTTTAAATAATAAATTCATTTATTTCCCACAAATTGAACTTTCACCTTAGATTCTGATATGAACAGTCCAAATTACGCATTCATCAGTTTTCATGTATTTTATTGTCAGCTCCTTCTCTCTTTTCCACGGACGTCATTAATGCATAAATAAAACACAAACACACTCACAAAGAATTCCATTGAATTTGGCAATCCCTTTCACAGCAATGAAGGATCACTGTTCAGTGTTCTATGTTCTCAACATAAAATAGTTGATCCAGACAAGTCTAATTACCTAACTCCTACGCGGCTATTACTTTAAAAAGGTATACAGAAGCGGAAACCTCTGAACCAAAAAGCAGAGGGAATTTGCTTGGCTATATTTTGCAACCATCTGCATCGCTTGGCATTCTTCCCTTCTGTACTTGAACAAGAAAAGTCATGACCCACGGTTTTCACGTGTAGAACAGTATTCTGTTGATTTGCTATAAGCCTAAGGCATGTTGCTGGGGATCTGATAACCAGAAAAGGGTGCATAGAGAAGTTTCAGAACCCTAAAAAGTGTTACATGTATGAGCATCTGTGACCACCATGAAAAGGGCCTTTCTCACCAAACCAGAAAAACTCCAGATTCCTATCAGTCAGTCCCCTGCTCCATCCTTGTGCCATACCAAATTCCATGGCCCACTGTTGCTGCCCAACCTTAAATTCAAATGTTCAGATGAGATTTTGAAGATTAACATACAGCAATGCAATAAGAATCTTGTCAAGAAAATATAACTCATCTACTAGATAATGGGCAGGAAAGGGAAAACAGTAGCTTTTTTTTTTTTGAGGGGGGGGGGGGGAGTGTTAGAAATTTCCAATGGACCAAGGAGGATGGATCTTTTGGTCAGTGGATAGTAT